GCTTGATTTATATGTTGCGATGTCATAATTTCATAGATCATAGGCCTTGTAGGTCTTTTGGGCCTTCTAGGCTGTCTAATCTACGTCACACATACTATAAATAGATATTTATACTATAATAAATAATAAATAAATAATAAATAAGCGACAAGATATGCCAGTTCATTCAAATATGCCTGATATCCTTGATCATGTTGCTCAGGTTGTTCGGGCTGTTCTGTTTGATCAGATCGGTCAGGTCGATTAGGTTGGTCAGGTTGATCAATCATATCTGATAGAAAGATCATATCTATTCTATCACAATATAAATAAATAGTTTGATATGTGGTTGGCATGTAATTTAGTAGTTGACATGTAATTTGGTGATTTATGCATGTGTTTGTTGTTGACTTCATGTGTTGTTAATTTTGATTAAATGGACTAGCTTTTGTTGTTATGAGTTTGATATGTGTTCGCGTGACTATAAATTTGTAGGGAGTAAACTAATTTTAGTTTTTTAGGCTGATTGTATGTACGTTAAGAAATTTTAATTTTGTTTAGTTGATAGAGAGCTTTGAGAACCTTCTAGCCTTTAGGATAATGATGAGATTTTTTAATTTATTGAATGTAATCTGGCCTCCTAAGGGTTCCTGCAGTGTCAAGAAAGGTATTTAACTTGATACTGGCCTGGCTGTAGGATTAGAAGTAGTATCAACTTTCTGAGACCTAACTGTAAATCAATTGGTTTGCCTTGTATTTCTCCTGGAAGCAAGAGATTTTTTTGTTTTGCTTTTTACTTGTTGTACTATAAAATAAAGTAAAGTGTTATATTGTAAAGTTATAAAGATGTATATCTTTGATTTTGAATATCTTTTGAATGATGGATCTTTAGTTATAGGTGTTTGAAGAAGATAAAAGTTTTTTGTTTTTGTTTCTTCCTAATTAAGAAATTTGAGATGAATGGAAAAGAGTTTTTTGCTTATGTTTTTATTTATTATATAAATTATAAATTGTATAATTAATATAAATCAAGTTATAATTCCAAAAATTGAAATTGAACAGACTTATATAGATTGTATAAGGTTCAAAACACTATTAAAAATAATAGTAGATTATAATTCATATATTAAATTTAATATAAACTTGAAAATAGAGAATCAAATTAAATCATTAGAATTTTCAAACTGAGTTTAACTTATATTAAAGATTTTAAATATGCAATTTTTAATAAAACAATTATTTAAATATATAGTTTTATTAATAAAACATTTGTTATAAAATTTCTTTTTAAATTTATAATTAACATAAATTAAATTTGGCTAGTATTAATTTTATTAATGAAATATATTATATTATTGATTTATTGTTATTTAATTTTTATATATAAACAAACTCTTGTTATTTTTAATAATAAACAACTTCAGATTTTTATAATTATACTTCTAACAATTAAGAATATATATTTTATAAATATTATTAATTATTTTAATTAAAAAATAAAATTAATATAATTTAAATTTTTCAAATCTGTTCTAATATAACATTTGTTACTTAAATAATAAGATATTTATTAGTATAAGCTTATTATTATAAAGGAGATTATGTATTTTTATCAATAGATAACTCAATATAATAAGTAGATTCTGATTTTATATTTAAAGTTATAATATTTGTACTGTAACTAATTAACTATTATTTAACAAAAGAAATTAAATCAATAAATTATTGTTTTTAATATATTTTATAATCTAGAAATATTATATAAATTGATACAAAATTGATAGATAAATTTGATCTTTTTAATGATTTTGCCATATTTACATTTAAATAAAATAAAATAATATATTTTTAAAAAATATTGTTTGTATAATTTTATTTTATATATTTTATTAAAATTTTATTAAGAGTATTTATATTAGCAAAATTTCTTTACATGCGAGATAGTTACAATACATTGTATTTAAAGAAGGCTTTGATTGTAGTTATACATTGTGATTATGGACCACGTGGAATAAAAATACTGTGTATGCCCTTTAATTTAAGTGTGATCAGTGCGCATTCAAAAAGAAATCCATGCCCGTGGTTTTACTGGTTTTACTCGGATATTTTACTTCTCCATTTAAGAAATTATGCCCACTTTGTGAAAGAAATGCAAGCATGACCGAATGATTGATCCACGTGAGGGTCTAGAGCATGCCATTTAGAAAAAAAAAATTTACCGATAGATCCTGCGTATCAAGGGGTTTTCAGGTATTCCTAATTGAGATATGTTTCCTGATTTATTTGCTTTATTGAGGTTAAATTAGGGATCTTCTACAAGAATTGAAATGCTAGTTGGTCCGTGAGGTCCATTCTACCTGTCTTAGAGAATAGTGTTTGGCTAGAACCGATCTGTAAATTCGATGGCATGATCATGATCAAAAAGTTAAAAAAATTTTATTTTTTTCAAAATTCGGTAAATTCTGTTGCAAAAATTTAAACCTTATTATGCAAGTTCTTTTATCTCCAAAATTTCAATGATCTCAAGTCTTCGAGTGATTACTAATTGTAAAGTTGCTGCACGTTCAACTATGTTTACTGGGTCGTCATTAGCTTATGAACGAATTCCCTTAATAAATCCTTGCATGAAAATAACCGGCTATGCAATTGATAGTTTAGGATCCATATTAGAGTAACAAACATCCCTAATCCAAATTTCTTTTTGTGAAGGTTGAATTGCTTACAGTAATTTTCGTAAAGCATTCGATCTACAAGTCAGGCTATTTCTTTCGCCCCTTTTAGAACAGTTCTCAATACGGCATTTGATAAAATCATCATTCTTGGTTAGTGGGCCTGCTTTACTTCAAAGTTTAGGATAAAAGAATGATACAAACGTAGGTATTAATTGCATTTCGGAATGAGAAAATTTGGTTAAATTATAAGTCATTTGATCATAGTTATAAACATTGTCAACTAAATAATTATTATCCGCGGAAATGATGCCGTTTGATTAATATATGCATTGTGAAATAAAACATGAAACCCGCAGTACACAATTGTCCTTCCTTTTTTAGATTAACGTAAGATTTATAATATGGATTTTCAAAAAGAAATTGCTTATAAAAACTACCAGAATTTTTCGTTTCTCATATTAAAATTTAAAAAAAGTCCTTTTCTTATAAAGACCAATTGGTTCTTAAAGCTAAACAATATGGGCAAATCCCAATCCAAATTAATTCAAGAAAGTAGCAATATGGTACATAAAATTTCGAAAAAAACAAAACAATCTTATTCTGATCCGGCTGCGGATGCTTCGATAAAAGATCAATTAGAGAGTTCAAATCACATTCAAATTTTATCCACTGCCTCGAATAGGACCCAATCGATGGTATCATCCACCTGCAGTACGCTTGGCTCCCATTGTATAGATGAACAGATGATTAAATACATAGGCGGAAGAAAGTTCTTAGTTTTAGAGGATGCAAGATATATACTACCTTTTGACGACGATGGTATCATCGTTTAGTAAGATCAATTTATCGAAGGGTCGTCCTTTTTCATTTCTTAATCAATCATACTTTCTCCTTTTTTTTTTCTTTTCAGAACATGCAAGGCAGCAGATATTACATTTTACACTTCGTCATATTTGGGAAAGTAATTTTTCTGCACCTGTTCATGAACTATTACAAGATTCCAAAACAAAAGTTCTGGATGTTGGGTAATTACATTATTACTGTGCGCATGTATACGCGTTCTTTTCTTGTTTTCTTTTTGGAGGGAAGTGTACTCACGGTTTTGTGCATTAATTATTAGCTGCGCAACAGGAACATGGACGTTAGACATGGCAACAGAATACCCGCTTGCAAAATTTACAGGAATAGACATAATACCGATTTTTCCATCCGAAATAAAGCCGAAAAACGTCGAATTTGAAATTGCAAACATATTAAACGGACTACCTTACGGGGATGATACATTTGATTTTGTGTTTATGAGATCAATGTCCCTGGCCTTTACAACTCAAGAATGGGAAAGTGTAGTTATTAATGAATTGATTCGAGTTGTGAAACCTGGAGGATGGATTGAAATAATGGAAAGAGATCCGTGGTGGACTGGTGCAGGTACTGCCACCAATAAAATTAACAGAGTTGGTATGTTAACAATTCGTAAATTGCATCAATTTTTCTTTTCTTACTAAAAGACATTTCAATACTTAGTCGTCGAAGAACTTCAGACAAATCATAATATAAATGCTCATATATCGCCATACTTACAGAGATACATGTCAGAAACGCATAAATTATCAGAGATTTGCCATTTAGAAAAAAAGATAGCCGTAGGCGCGTGGGGTGGTAATTTGGGCAATGTATGTTTGGAAAATTATAGATGGTTCTTCAAAAATATTCGAGGTTCCATTGAATCCATAAAAGATAAGGAATTTAATGCGATGTTAAGTGAGAGCTTAAAAGAATTTACGAATAGTAAGGCGTATGAAACTGGTCATAGGTTCTTTGCAATGAAGATAAAGGAAAATGTCGGAACGGAAATTAGTTAAGGGGTTCCATTGTAATTACTAAAAAAACAAAAATTATTATTTATCATTTTATTACAGCTTAAAAAAAAAACCATTAATATAAACTAAATGTAAATAATCATTCCATAACTTTTTTAAAAAATAAAAGGGTTCAAATAGAAAGTCGCACTCCTCTTAATTGTTGGAAACTAATTGAACAAAAATGTAGCGTCACTTACTTGGGAAGTTAATACAAAACAGAGCTTATAGCAATACATTTCTTGACTATAAAATAAATATTATTGATATTAACAATTAATATTATGCTTGCAACACTAAAAAAATACCTATAGTAAAAAAAATTTACGAATTATTAATCATTAAAAATCTAATAAATTTTTAAAAAAATATTAAAATAAAGTAATCATACATACAGTTTATCTAAAAATCTTTAAATAAAGTTTAATTGGTTTTTTTATTTACAATTTAACAAATAATTAATGAATTTTAAATATTACTAATAAAAATATTAAAAAATAAATTTGCTTGATGATTTTTTAATAATATATGCTATGTGAACAAAAATATCACCATCTTAAATTTATTATTATATAAAAACATACTTAATAATTTTATTTGAACTTTTAATGTTATTGCTTATATTTAAAAAAAATGTGTATATAATTTTCATGTTTTTTCAATAAATAAACATTAAATTAAATATAAATACATTTATTCTCAATAATTTTAATTTCAAAAATATATTACTTAACTAAAAATTAATAAAATAAAATTATAAGTCTTTACAAAGAAAAATAATTCTTGTTAAAAATTTAAATATTTTTAAAAATTATAGAATAATTGTTTTTTATACAATTAAAAATTATTTTAATAGAAATAATCATATTATTCTTCTTAAAACTAGAATTTAAAATTTTTAACTTTTAAAAACAAAACTATTTTAAAAAATTTTGTTAAAAAAAATAAGAAATTTAAAAAACAAATTAAAAATAAATTTATTTAAAAAATCAATATTAAAGTTTCTATTAAAACAATTAAAAGAAATTTATATAAAATAAATATTTTTTCTTATATATTAGCTTAAAAATTACTTCTAAATAATTAACAAAAAGAAAATTATTTAAAATAATATATTGAAAAAAAATTAAACTATTAAAAAATAAAATATAATAATAATTATTTTTTTTTTTGAAAAAAGCAAATGGCTATCACACTTTATTATATTTATTATACTTTCACTTGCAAAGCAAAATATAATACTCAATAGTATGACATACATCTTTCTTTGCTAGGAAGAGTTTAATGCAAGGCTCCTGTATGGAAAAAATAAAATATTTATAGATAAATATCATTTCTTTATTTATTTGTATAATAATAAATATATATTGTAAAAGAAACAATATCTCTTATATGTATTAATACACTAAGTTAAATGCTAGCTTGCCTATAGTAAAATATAATTATATAAAATTATAAAAAATAAATTTACAATATTTAAAAACAATAGCTTAATTATGTATATAAAAAATTTTTTTTAACAATAAAATTTAAAAATAGGAAAATAATAATATGAAAATAATTTTTAAATACAATAAATAATAAATTAAATTACGTATTTAAAAAATATTTATTATCTTTAATTTAATAATAATTTTTATTATAAAAAATATTTGTTTTAAAATAATAATATTTTAATTTATATTACTAAAAATATTTAATAATAAATTTTAAAAATAAAATTAAGATTTTATTTAATTAACCAAGCCAATCTTTTAATTTAAATCTAATTAAACATTTGTAATTTGAATTAAAAAAAAATTATAAAAAAAATTAAAAATATAAAAACTATATTATAAAAAAATTAAATTAAATTAATATAATATTAATTTATATATAAATAGTTTATAATTTGTAGATTAATAATACAGTAGTCAAATATTTTTATATTTGAATTACAAAATATAAATTTAATTTTAAGTAAAGATAGTTAAATTAAATTAATATAATATTTAATATTATAATTATTTAAATATTTTTTTTTATTCATATATTAATTTCACAAATATTGAAATTGTAATTTTTATAAAAATATAAATGTAACAATCCTGTGCTGCGCCTGGGACCC